AGGGACTGGGGAGGGGACACCTGGGGAGGGGCGGCCGGCGAGGACTGCACAGGAGGGCCACCAGAGTCAGAAGACTCCTCAACCGGGTCCACGGACGGAAGGGGGGTGACGTGGGACACACCAGAGGGGGCGGGACGGGGAGGAGGAGGAGGAGGAGGGGCAGGGACTACCGGGGAAGGGGTGACCAGGAACAGGGGGGGGTAACCGGGGGACCACGGTGGGGAAAGCGGTGGTAGTAGGAGACGGACTCGTCAAAGGTGACGTCACGAGAGTGAAAGAAGCGGTGAGACGGCGGGTGGTAAAAGTGCCAGGCAGCCCCAGGCGTGGAACGCAGACGTGTCACCAGGAGACCCAGTCCAAAGACGGGTCGGCGAAACCTGCGGCTGCTGAGGGTGCGGCCACAGGTTAAGCTGGTGAGAAGCGTAGCGCACAGCGAACGGCCACAGAAAATGGGGTGCACCGGCATGGATCATGGAGGTGCGAGCGACCTCCATGACCAAACCGATGCGTCGCTCAGCGACCCCATTCTGCTGTGGGGAGTCCGGTAGGGTGAACGTTTGGGTGATGCCCTCCGCACGACAAAAGCGACCAAGGACACCGGAGGCAAACTCGCCACCCCGGTCTGAGTGAAGACGCAAGACAGGGAGACCGCGGTGGACACGCGCAGAGACAAGCCAGGGGATGAGAGCGCCAGGCACGTCGGCCTTGCGCTCCAGGGGAAAGACTGTGGTGTAACGAGTAAAGTCGTCGACAAGGACAAGGAAGTAGCGCTCTCGACGCGGCCCAGGGACGGGGGCCGGGCCCCAGACGTCCAGGTGCAGGGTCTGCAGTGGCGCGGCGGTAGGGGGAAACGAGGAGGAGTGAGGGGCACGGCGAAGCCGACCCTCGACACAAGGCGTGCAAGGTGGGGCTGGAGAGGAGGGAAACGCGGGGAGCGAACCTGGGAGACCAAGGACGAGACCGTGCTGGGACATGTGACGCAGACGCGGGAGCGCAGGGTGACCTAGGCGGTGGTGCCACAGGAGGGTCGGGTGAGTGAGGGAGCGACAGGAGCAGGCAGCAGCAACCTGGGTAGACGCAGCCACCTGAGGGGGCGCTCCAGCCGGGGGGTCACGGTGTCCAGAGTGAACAGGCCGGACACCGGGTCCCGGGGGAACGTGGACAGGGGGGCACCAGTGGCGGCCTCGGTACAGACAGCATACCGCTCGTGGCCAGGGAACGTAGTGGTGACGCCAAGGTCCTGGAGGCAGCCGACACCAACTAGGTTCCTGGAGAACGAGGGGATATGCAGACCTGTAAGAGAACCCGAAGGAACCGCCGGACAGGGAAGGGTGGTGGAACTGCGGGCGACTACCGGACCGCCGGAGGGGTCAGCAAGAGAAACGGCAGCAGGAACAGGAAGCGGCGTCAGGGTGGTGGAGTCGCGGAAGAAACACCGAGAGGCGCCAGAGTCCAAGGTGAAGGAAAGCGAAGCCGAGGGGTCTGGCGACGGAACGACGGCGGAAGCACCAAGACTACACAAAGCAGGGGATCCTACGCCTGACGCAGCAGGGGAGGCTAAGCTAGGCACACCTACACTAGGCAACAGTGAGTAATAAGCGGGAAGCACACTAGAGTCATCAGCATACATCACATGCAGAGCGGAAACAATGGCATCCATGTCCATATCAAAAATCTGAATCTGACGACTAAGCAAATTGTGCCAGTCCGGGAGGTCTGGCGACGGGCCGAAGCGCTGACGAAAGAGGTCATCGAGGCGACGAAAACAGCGGGGAGTGGAGTGACCGATCTTACCGCAAACGAAGCCGCGGCGAGGACCGGTCTGGATCTGGTACTGACAACGCCCGCCGCCAGAGCCACCACGCGGCACACCACCACGCGCCCGGCCACCGCTAGCGCCGGGCCACCCTGGCGGGAGGACACTCGTCTGCCGCGTCTGCGACGGCTGCTGCGAAGGCTGCGATTGCGGCGGCTGCTGCGGCTGCTGCACCTGCAGGGGCGGCGACTCAGCTGAACTGGGCAGGGTCCCCTCGTCCACTCCAGCACCAGGCGACCCGACCCCACCACTACCCCCGCCCGCACCCCCGCCGCCTCCTCCGCCGCGCCCAGCCTTGGGGCGGCGGCCCTTCCCCGAATGGACCTGCGCTTCTGCAGCAGTCTCAGCCACTGCGGCAGAGCCGTCGGAGAAGGTGCACTGAGCGGGGGCACAACCCTGAAAGATAAGGACCGGCACGACACCGCTCGCCTGGGCGATGGAGCGGTGACGGGTCTCTATCACAGTCAGGGTGTCTACAAAGTCAGTGAGGGTGAGGTCTGCGGGGTGAACGCTAAGAAAGCGGTCGCGGGCGACAGCAAGGCGGTCAGGGAGGCGGGTGGCAAGCAGGTAGAGGGTAGAGGTAATGGGCGGCTGGTGGGCTCTAAGCTGGGCGTCAGTGCAGGCAGCGCGCCAGGTCTCATCTATCGAGCGCAGGTGGGCAGTGAGGTCAGAGACTGTGGGGAAAGATGCAAGGTCAGCAAAGAGCATCGGAAGGATCAGGCGACCCACCGAGGCAGCCGGAGGGGTGGAATAGCGCTTGATCACAGCATCTAAGTATGCCTGAGCAGTAGTGAGGGACCTAAAGCGAGGACGCTCGGATGGGGGAAGGGCGTTGCTAATGGCAAGCTGGGCAACAGCATCGCGAGAAAGCCAGACAGAGCGCGCACGGGCAGTGGCAGCAGTAGACTCACGCTCAGTGGGTGTGGGGTCAGCGGACAGAATAGCAGGGGGGTCTGGGCAGGGGAGCGTACCGTCAAGGTGTGCGGAAAGCGGTTCACCATCCTGCCGCTGGCCAGTGAGTTGGCGGCGGAGGTCGGCAAGCCACGCCTCGAACTCTAGGGGCTGACCTTCAGCGTCGAAGCGAAGCTCCGCAGCCATCAGGAACAGTCCAGTGCGGTGCAGGGCAGTGCAGTGCGGTGCAGTGCGGTGCAGTGCGGTGCAGTGCGGTGCAGTGCGGTACAGTGCGGTGCAGTGCGGTGCAGTGCGGTGTAGTGCGGTGTAGTGCGGTGCCAGGCAGTACAGTGTGGTGCGGGGCGGCACGGAGCAGGGCGGGGTGGGGGGGAACCGTACCAGTGAGGAGGACGGGGCCGGGGCTGGCCCGACGGGGCCGGGCGGGCGCGACGGGGCCGGGCTGGTGCGACAGGGCCGGGACGGGGCGACGGGGCCGAGCGGGCGCGACGGGGCCGGGCTGGGGCGACGGGGCCGGGCGAGCGGGACGGCGGCGGGACGGCGGTCGGCGGTGCGACGGGGCCGGCGGCTGCGACGGGGCCGGGCAGGGTGCGACGGGGCCGGGCGGGTGCGACGGGGCCGGGCGGCTGCGACGGGGCCAGGCAAGGGCGACGGGGCCAGGCGGCTGCGACGGGGCCGGGCGGGCGCGACGGGGCCAGGCGGCTGCGACGGGGCCGGGCGGGCGCGCCGGGACCGGGGGGGGGGGGGGGGGTACGACGCGGCCCAGGAGGGGCGCTACGGGGCCCAGGAGGGGCACGACGGGGGCCCAGGAGAGGCGCTACAGGGGCCCAGGAGGGGCGCAACGGGGCCCAGGAGGGGCGCTACGAAGCTCAGGAGGGGCGCGACGAGGCCCAGGAGGGGCGCTACGGGGTTGAGGAGGGGCGCGACGGGGCCTGGGAGGGGCACGACGGGGCCCAGGAGGGGCGCTATAGGGCCCAGGGAGGGCGCGACGGGGCCCAGTAGGGGCGCTACGGAGCCCAGGAGGGGCGCGACGGGGCCTGGGAGGGGCGCGACGGGGCCCAGGAGGGGCGCGACAGAGCCCAGGAGGGGCGCTACGGGGCCTGGGATGAGCGCGACGGGGCCTAGGAGGGGCGCTAGGGGGCCTGGGAGGAGCGCGACGGGGCCTGGGAGGGGCGATACAGGGCCCAGGAGGGGCGCTACGAAGCCCAGGAGGGGCGCTACGGGGCCCAGGAGGGGCGCGACGGGGCGCTACGGGGCCTGGGAGGAGCGCGACGGGGCCCAGGAGGGGCGCTAGGGGGCCTGGGAGGGGCGCGACGGGGCCTGGGAGGGGCGCGACGGGGCCTGGGGGGGGCGCTACAGGGCCCAGGAGGGGCGCTAGGGGGGATGAGCGGAAGCGGTAGGTGGGGGGGATCCTACCTACGCGTGATACCATATCAGAATTAGAATTGAATAATGGTAAAGTGAGAGTACACACAAATATACCTAAGTGTTGTACCCTCTAAGAGGTAACCCTATACAGTCTATACAAACATGACAAATACAGATGTTTGACAATTTCGGCCACCTAACCATGTGCGTGCAGGATTTTGGCGTGCAAGTCAATCTAGTATACTCGTTTGCCTGCACGTGCCAATCTCAGCGCAAGTCTGTATTTCATGAGCTATTTTGCTTTATCACCAATATTGTTTGTTTCCGCCACATGGATTATCTTCATTCTTTCTGCCACGTGCATAGAATTGCTAGTTGCTTCTGCTGGTATTACAAGTTTTACCAGTTGTTAAATTGTGGAGGTGCATATCGTCTTAGACTTCTAGCGCGTGTTTTGTTTGTAAAGTTATTTTCCATAAAATTTTGACAGGCGAATTGTGATTTAATTCTGTACTCGGTCAATATTGATAGGCAATGGAAATTAAAGTGACATTTTTTAATTGGCTATTGTAACGAAATTAAAGTACTCTGTGTAGTCTGCTTGCTTATGGGTCGAAATGAATTGTGCTGTATCGAGAATCAGCTGTCCAATAGCACGCTCGGGACGCGTGTCCCATGACACAATAGGGACAGTTTTTGGGTGGCATGCGATGTGGAAAGATGTCCCAAAACTGTCCCCCAGCCGTCAGACCCTATCTCTCGAATCTGTCCTGGGGGTGCATCCTGAAAATGATAAAAAACAAGGCTCGACGTAAATCGTCGGATGGGTTTCGTACGTCCACATTTCTTCTCTCACAATTTGAATTCGCATTTCCCCCTCCTCCCCCCCCCCCCCCCCCCCCCCCCCCTTTTTTTTTTTTTTTTTTTTTTTTTTTTTTTTTTTTTTTTTTAAATTTCACTAGGACTGTGCACTAGAAAAGTTTGTGAGTCAATACTAGAAAAGTGATTCTGTAAGTGAATATATTTTAAACGTGTAATATTACGAACTATAGCAATAATATAGTTTTATATATAATAAGTTCTGTATTGCTGTATTGGCGTAGTAACTGTGCTGACCTGTTTAAAAGAAGAGAATGGCACGGCGAGTAACTGTGCTGACCTGTACTCGGTTAGCTTTCTGGGGCAGAGTGAACACACCCCTGCTAGGGTTAGTTGGTGCTTCTTGTTTCTGCTCGTCCTTCCCTCTTGCTCTTTCGTTCGTGCCTTGTTCTTGCTCATAGAGGTAGTCCCTCCCTGCTCACGCCTAGTACTTGCTCACACCTAGTCCTTGCTCCCACCCACCGTAGTCCTTGCTCACACATAGTTCCTTGCTCATACCTAGTCCTAGCTCGAAACTGGCGCATTTCGCGCTGGCGCGTCTCGCGCTGGCGCGTTTCGCGCTGGTCCGTATCGCGCTGGCGCCTGGCGCGCTGGCGCGATACGCGCTGGCGCCGTGTGCGCAGGCGCCTTGCGCGCTGGCGCCGTGCGCGCAGGCGCGTTTCGCGTTGGCGCCGTGCGCGCAGGCGCCTTGCGCGCTGGTGCGTTTCGCGCTGGCGCCGTGCGCGCTGACGCGTTTCGCGCAGGCGCGGTGCGCGCAGACGCCTTGCACGCCAGCGTGGTCCGCGCTGGCGCGGTGTGCGTTGACGCCTCGCGCGCAGACGCCATGTCTTAGGGGTCATGGCGCTGTGCAAAACGTCGTGGAATGAAGTGTACGTGCGACAACACTGCAGGTAAGCTCTAGTCCCCTCCGTTCCTCCCCCTTTGTCGTCCCCCCTCCGCCCCTCCCCCTTTTGCCGTCCCCCCTTCGTCCCTCCCCCTTTTGCCGTCCCACTTCCGTTCCCCCCCTTTGTCATCCCCCCTCCGTTCCCCCTCTTTTTGTCGTCCCCCCTCCGTTCCCCCCCTTTGCCGTCCCCGCTCGTTCCTCCCCCTTTGCCGTCCCCCCTCCGTTCCTCCCCCTTTGCCATCGCCCCTCCGTCCCCCCCCTTTGCCATCCCCCCTCCGTTCTCCCCCCTTTGTCGTCCCCCCTCCGTCCCTCCACCATTGCCGTCCCCCCTCCGTTCCCCCCCTTTGTCGTCCCCCCTCCGTTCCCCCCCCTTTGTCGTCCCCCCTCCGTCCCCGCCCTTTGTCGTCCCCCCTCCCTTCCCCCCCTTTTGCCGTCCCCCCTCCGTTCCTCTCCCTTTGCTGTCCCCCCTCCGTTCCTCCCCCTTTGCTGTCCCCCCTCCGTTCCTCCCCCTTTTCTGTCCCCCCTCCGTTCCTCCCCTTTGCTGTCCCCCCTCCGTTCCTCCCCCTTTGCTGTCCCCCCTCCGTTCCTCCCCCTTTGCTGTCCCCCCTCCGTTCCTCCCCCTTTGCTGTCCCCCCTCCGTTCCTCCCCCTTTGCTGTCCCCCTCCGTTCCTCCCCCTTTGCTGTCCCCCCTCCGTTCCTCCCCTTTGCTGTCCCCTCTCCGTTCCTCCCCCTTTTCTGTCCCCTCTCCGTTCCTCCCCCTTTGCTGTCCCCCTCCGTTCCTCCCCCTTTGCTGTCCCCCCTCCGTTCCTCCCCCTTTGCTGTCCCCCTCCGTTCCTCCCCCTTTGCTGTCCCCCCTCCGTTCCTCCCCCTTTGCTGTCCCCACTCCGTTCCTCCCCCTTTGCTGTCCCCCTCCTTTCCTCCCCTTTGCTGTCCCGCCTCCGTTCCTCCCCCTTTGCTGTCCCCCTCCGTTCCTCCCCCTTTGCTGTCCCCCTCCGTTCCTCCCCTTTGCTGTCCCCCCTCCGTTCCTCCCCCTTTGCTGTCCCCCCTCCGTTCCTCCCCCTTTGCTGTCCCCCCTCCGTTCCTCCCCCTTTGCTGTCCCCCCTCCGTTCCTCCCCCTTTGCTGTCCCGCCTCCGTTCCTCCCCCTTTGCTGTCCCCCCTCCTTTCCTCCCCCTTTGCTGTCCCGCCTCCGTTCCTCCCCCTTTGCTGTCCCCCCTCCGTTCCTCCCCCTTTGCTGTCCCCCCTCCGTTCCTCCCCCTTTGCTGTCCCGCCTCCGTTCCTCCCCCTTTGCTGTCCCCCCTCCGTTCCTCCCCCTTTGCTGTCCCCCCTCCGTTCCTCCCCCTTTGCTGTCCCCCCTCCGTTCCTCCCCCTTTGCTGTCCCGCCTCCGTTCCTCCCCTTTGCTGTCCCCCCTCCGTTCCTCCCCCTTTGCTGTCCACCCTCCGTTCCTCCCCCTTTGCTGTCCCCCCTCCGTTCCTCCCCCTTTGCTGTCCCGCCTCCGTTCCTCCCCCTTTGCTGTCCCCCCTCCGTTCCTCCCCCTTTGCTGTCCCCCCTCCGTTCCTCCCCCTTTGCTGTCCCCCCTCCGTTCCTCCCCCTTTGCTGTCCCCCTCCGTTCCCCCCCTTTTGCCGTCCCCCCTCCTTCCCCCCCCCTTTGCCGTCCCCCCTCGTTCGTCCCCCTTTGCCGTCGCCCCTCCGTTCCTCCCCTTTGCTGTCCCCCCTCCGTTCCTCCCCCTTTGCTGTCCCCCCTCCGTTCCTCCCCCTTTGCTGTCCCCCCTCCGTTCCTCCCCCTTTGCTGTCCCCCCTCCGTTCCTCCCCCTTTGCCATCGCCTCTCCGTCCCCCCCCTTTGCCATCCCCCCTCCGTTCTCCCCCCTTTGTCGTCCCCCTCCGTCCCTCCACCATTGCGTCCCCCCTCCGTTCCCCCCCTTTGTCGTCCCCCCTCCGTTCCCCCCCCTTTGTCGTCCCCCCTCCGTCCCCGCCCTTTGTCGTCCCCCCTCCCTTCCCCCCCCTTTTTGCCGTCCCCCTCCGTTCCTCTCCCTTTGCTGTCCCCCTCCGTTCCTCCCCTTTGCTGTCCCCCCTCCGTTCCTCCCCCTTTTCTGTCCCCCTCCGTTCCTCCCCCTTTGCTGTCCCCCCTCCGTTCCTCCCCCTTTGCTGTCCCCCCTCCGTTCCTCCCCCTTTGCTGTCCCCCCTCCATTCCTCCCCCTTTGCTGTCCCCCCTCCGTTCCTCCCCCTTTGCTGTCCCCCCTCCGTTCCTCCCCCTTTGCTGTCCCCCCTCCGTTCCTCCCCCTTTGCTGTCCCGCCTCCGTTCCTCCCCCTTTGCTGTCCCCCCTCCGTTCCTCCCCCTTTGCTGTCCCCCCTCCGTTCCTCCCCCTTTGCTGTCCCCCCTCCGTTCCTCCCCCTTTGCTGTCCCGCCTCCGTTCCTCCCCCTTTGCTGTCCCCCCTCCGTTCCTCCCCCTTTGCTGTCCACCCTCCGTTCCTCCCCCTTTGCTGTCCCCCCTCCGTTCCTCCCCCTTTGCTGTCCCGCCTCCGTTCCTCCCCCTTTGCTGTCCCCCCTCCGTTCCTCCCTTTGCTGTCCCCCCTCCGTTCCTCCCCCTTTGCTGTCCCCCCTCCGTTCCTCCCCCTTTGCTGTCCCCCTCCGTTCCTCCCCTTTTGCCGTCCCCCTCCTTCCCCCCCCTTTGCCGTCCCCCCTCGTTCGTCCCCCTTTGCCGTCGCCCCTCCGTTCCTCCCCTTTGCTGTCCCCCTCCGTTCCTCCCCCTTTGCTGTCCCCCCTCCGTTCCTCCCCCTTTACTGTCCCCCCTCCGTTCCTCCCCCTTTGCTGTCCCCCTCCGTTCCTCCCCCTTTGCTGTCCCCCCTCCGTTCCTCCCCTTTTCTGTCCCCCCTCCGTTCCTCCCCCTTTGCTGTCCCCCCTCCGTTCCTCCCCCTTTTCTGTACCCCTCCGTTCCTCCCCCTTTGCTGTCCCCCTCCGTTCCTTCCTCCCCTTTGCTGTCCCCCTCCGTTCCTCCCCCTTTGCTGTCCCCCCTCCGTTCCTCCCCCTTTGCTGTCCCCCCTCCGTTCCTCCCCCTTTGCTGTCCCCCTCCGTTCCCTCCCCTTTGCTGTCCCCCCTCCGTCCTCCCCCTTTGCTGTCCCCCTCCGTTCCCCCCCCTTTTGCCGTCCCCCCTCCTTCCCCCCCCTTTGCCGTCCCCCCTCGTTCCTCCCCCTTTGCCGTCGCCCCTCCGTTCCCCCTTTGCTGTCCCCCCTCCGTTCCTCCCCTTTGCTGTCCCCCCTCCGTTCCTCCCCCTTTGCTGTCCCCCCTCCGTTCCTCCCCCTTTGCTGTCCCCCCTCCGTTCCTCCCCCTTTTCTGTCCCCCCTCCGTTCCTCCCCCTTTGCTGTCCCCCCTCCGTTCCTCCCCCTTTTCTGTACCCCCTCCGTTCCTCCCCCTTTGCTGTCCCCCTCCGTTCCTCCCCCTTTTCTGTCCCCCTCCGTTCCTCCCCCTTTGCTGTCCCCCTCCGTTCCTCCCCCTTTGCTGTCCCCCCTCCGTTCCCCCCCTTTTCTGTCCCCCCTCCTCCCCCCCTTTGCCGCCCCCCCTTCCCCCCCTTTGCCCCCCTCGTTCCTCCCTTGCCTCCCCCTCCTTCCCCCCCTTTGCGTCCCCCTCCGTTCCTCCCCTTTGCTGTCCCCCCTCCGTTCCTCCCCCTTTGCTGTCCCCCTCCGTTCCTCCCCCTTTGCTGTCCCCCTCCGTTCCTCCCCCTTTGCTGTCCCCCCTCCGTTCCTCCCCTTTGCTGTCCCCCTCCGTTCTCCCCCTTTTGCTGTCCCCCCTCCGTTCCTCCCCCTTTTCTGTCCCCCTCCGTTCCTCCCCCTTTGCTGTCCCCCTCCGTTCCTCCCCCTTTGCTGTCCCCCCTCCGTTCCTCCCCCCTTTGCTGTCCCCCCTCCGTTCCTCCCCCTTTGCTGTCCCCCTCCGTTCCTCCCCCTTTGCTGTCCCCCTCCGTTCCTCCCCTTTTCTGTCCCCCCTCCGTTCCTCCCCCTTTGCTGTCCCCCCTCCGTTCCTCCCCCTTTGCTGTCCCCCTCCGTTCCTCCCCCTTTGCTGTCCCCCCTCCGTTCCTCCCCCTTTGCTGTCCCCCCTCCGTTCCTCCCCCTTTGCTGTCCCCCCCCCCCCCCCCCCCCTCCGTTCCTCCCCTTGCTGTCCCCCCTCCGTTCCTCCCCCTTTGCTGTCCCCCCTCCGTTCCTCCCCCTTTGCTGTCCCCCCTCCGTTCCTCCCCCTTTGCTGTCCCCCCTCCGTTCCTCCCCCTTTGCTGTCCCCCCTCCGTTCCTCCCCCTTTGCTGTCCCCCCTCCGTTCCTCCCCCTTTTCTGTCCCCCCTCCGTTCCCCCCCCTTTGCCGTCCCCCCTCCTTCCCCCCCTTTGCCGTCCCCCCTCGTTCCTCCCCCTTTGCCGTCGCCCCTCCGTTCCTCCCCCTTTGCTGTCCCCCCTCCGTTCCTCCCCCTTTGCTGTCCCCCCTCCGTTCCTCCCCCCTTTGCTGTCCCCCCTCCGTTCCTTCCCCTTTGCTGTCCCCCCCTCCGTTCCTCCCCTTTGCTGTCCCCCCTCCGTTCCTCCCCCTTTGCTGTCCCCCCTCCGTTCCTCCCCCTTTGCTGTCTCCCCTCCGTTCCTCCCCCGTTGCTGTCCCCCTCCGTTCCTCCCCCTTTGCTGTCCCCCCTCCGTTCCTCCCCCTTTGCTGTCCCCCCTCCGTTCCTCCCCCGTTGCTGTCCCCCCTCCGTTCCTCCCCCTTTGCTGTCCCCCCTCCGTTCCTCCCCTTTTGCTGTCCCCCCTCCGTTCCTCCCCCTTTGCTGTCCCCCCTCCGTTCCTCCCCCTTTGCTGTCCCCTCTCCGTTCCTCCCTCTTTTCTGTCCCCTCTCCGTTCCTCCCCCTTTGCTGTCCCCCTCCCCCTTTGCTGTCCCCCCTCCGTCCCTCCCCCTTTTCTGTACCCCTCCGTCCCTCCCCTTTTGCCGTCCCCCTTCCTTTCCCCCCCTTTGCCGTCCCCCTCGTTCCTCCCCCTTTGCCGTCCCCCCTCCGTTCCTCCCCCTTTGCCGTCGCCCCTCTGTTCCCCCCCTTTGCTGTTCCCCCTCCGTTTTCCCCCTTTGCCATCCCCCCTCCGTCCCTCCCCCATTGCCGTCCCCCCTCCGTCCCCCCCTTTGTCATCCCCCTCCGTTCCCCCCCCTTTGCCGTCCCCCCTCCGTTCCTCCCCCTTTGCCGTCCCCCCTCCGTTCCCCCCCTTTGCTGTCCCCCCTCCGTTCCCCCCCCTTTTCTGTCCCCCTCCGTTCCTCCCCCTTTGCTGTCCCCCCTCCGTTCCTCCCTCTGTTCTTACTCCCTCTGGTGTTACTGCCTCTGTTCTTACTCTCTCGGTTCTTCCTCCCTCTGTTCCGCCTCCCTCTGTTCTTACTCCCTCTGTTCTTACTCCCTCTGTTCTTCCTCCCTCTGTTCTTCCTCGCTCAGTGTGTTTCTCCTCCCTCTGTTCTTCCTACCTCTGTTCTTCCGCCCTCTGTTTTTCCTCCTTCTGTTCTTACTCCCTCTGTTCTTACTGGCGCCGTGCGAGCTGGCGCCTTGCGCGCTGGCGCCTTGCGTGCCAGCCCGTTTTGCGCTGGCGCCGTGCGCGCTCGCGCGTTTAGCACAAGCGCGGTGCGCGCTTTGGCGCCTTTCGCGCTGGCGCCTTTGTCGTCCCCTCCGTTCCCCCCCTTTGTGGTCCCCCATCCGTCCCTCCCCCTTTGTCGCCCCCCCCTCCCCCCGTTCCCCCCCTTTGTTGTCCCCCCTCCCTTCCTCCCCCTTTGCCATCCCCCCTCCGTCCCTCCCCCTTTGTCGTCCCCCCTCCGTTCCCCCCCCCTTTGTTGTCCCCCCTCGTTCCTCCCCCTTTGCCGTCCCCTCCCTCCGTCCCTCCCCTTTGTCGTCCCCCCTCCGTTCCTCCCCCTTACTCGTCCCCTCTCCGTTCCTCCCCCTTTGCCGTCCCCCGTCCGTTCCTCCCCCCTCCTTCCCCCCCCTTTTGCCGCCCCCCTTCCCTTCCTCCCCCTTCGCCGTCTTCCCTCTGTTCTTCCCCCTTTGTCGTCCCCCATCCGTCCCTCCCCCTTTGCCGTCCCCCCTGCGTTCCCCCCCCTTTGTCGTCCCCTCTCCGTTCCTCCCCTGTCGTCCCCCTTCCTTCCCTCCCCCTTTGTCGTCCCCCCTATGTTCCTCCCCCTTTGCCATCCCCCCTCCGTTCCCCCCCCTTTTTCGTCCCCCCTCCGTTCCCCCCCCTTCGCTGTCCCCCCTTCCTTCCTCCCCGTTCGCCATCTCCCCTCCGTTCCTCCCGTTTTGTCATCCCCCCTCCGTCCCTCCCCCTTTGTCGTCCCCCTCTGTTCCTCCCCTTTGTCGTCCCCCTCCGTTCCTCAAACTTTGCCGTCCCCCCTCCCTTCTTCCTCCATTTGTCTTTCTACCTCCGTTCTTCCTCTCATTGTCTCCCTCATTCCTGTTTTCCCCCCTCAGTTTATCCCCCCTCTGTCTTCCCCCCTCCATTCCCCCCTCCGTCCTTCCATCCTCCATTCTCCCGCCCTCTGCTCTCCCCCCCTCTGCCGTTCCCTTTCCATTCTTCCTCACCAACGCTCTCCACCCCCCCGGCTTTCCTTTACCCCTTGCGTTCTTCTTACCTCATCCCCCCTCTGCTTTATTGCCTTTGCAATCTGTATTCTTACAAGCCCAAGTGCAGCCCATTCTCAGTTATACATTACTCTCCCTCTCGCTGTTTTTTGTTCTTCCTCCATCCATTCTTCCCCTGTCTGTTTGCCTCTGTTCTTCCCCTCCATTCTTTTCCGCTCCTGTCTTCTCGCCTCCATTCCCCCCTCAGCTCTTTTTAACCATTCTTCCTCACGTTCTTCCACCCTTTGGTCTCCCCTCTCCATTCTTACTCCGCCTATTCATTCCTCCCTCTGTGTGACCCTCTCCCTCCCTGTGCTGCTCTCCTTTGCTCCTTCTTCTCCTTTCTGTATTTGATTTTCCCCTACACTTGTTTCTACCTTGCGTTTGCTTCTCATTTCAGTGGTTGCTTCTCTCTTGCACTTGCTGCTCCCTTCTCCTTGTCCGTGTTTCTTGCGTTCGTCTCCGCTGTACTGTTTTTCCCTCGCATCCCCACCTAATCGCTTTAGTTTCTCTCTGGCTGCTACTGTCTCAAGCTCTTCCCTCTTATTTTCTCCTCTTGTAATCCTCTCCAGTCATGTTATCACGTTCAAGTTTGTCACACTCCAAGAACATTCCAAGTCGTCGAAATTCAAGTCATCACGTTCCAAGACTTCTCATTCAAATTCCAGTCAAAGCATTATTCATTGATATTTGAAGTTGACTTGGTAATGTTTTTGTGCTACCCATTATATCTTCGTGTTTTACTTGCGTGCATTTGCATTGTTGTTTTGTGATTTTTTATGTCGCGTTGCTTGTGTATGTGTGTTTGCATGGTACCATTGTTGACAACGTGCGTACCAGTTTGTTGGCTTGTGTTTTGCACGGTATTGCGTTGCGTTGTGCTTGCAGGGGAAGGATGCTGACTATGCCTAGTGCATCACACAATTTGCGATTGTCGTTGCCGGTTTGGGGAATTGCTTCTCATTCCGTGCATGTCAATCTCTATTGTAGCACAAAGCATTGATGCATTTCTTCCTTTGCAGTCACTATTGCACTGTTTTTGTTTGTTAGCAAGTGTTGTACATCGTTGTGTAATGTGTGTGTGTGCAGGGAAACGATGCTGATTATGCCGAGTGCATCATACAATGTGCGATTGTCGTTGCTCATAACGGGCATGTCAATCTATAATGAGGCACGAACACATTGATGCTTTCGTTTACTGCATTCGTGATCTTTTTGTTGTGTTGTATTGTTGTCGTGTCGAGCCAAGCCGTTACATGTGTGTGTGGGTAAGATGCGTTTTGTGTACATGCTTTGAAAATGGTGGTGGTGATGTGGTTCGGTCATTCTCCGCCGTAATTATCGACGGCGAATGATTCGAGCCTCTCATCATTCATAGAAAGCTTAGAAATCGCTACAAAACTCTATGTTGCTCAATTATTATGTCGTCTCCATTATCGACCACATAATAATTGCGAAAAAAACATAGATTTTTTTTATGCAAGCTAGAAAGGTCTTTTGAGACGCTAAGTTTCTGAGTTACAGTAAAAGGAATCAACAAACAAACGGATACGTAGAGATTCTCTATCGGAGAACGTAAACATTAAGATTATAGACAACCAACTTTAGATGAAAAAAAAAACCAGTGTTTTTAGAGTGAGCGACGTATTAAACCTGGAAAAATATGTAGTGCAGGTGATTAGGCCGACTAAACCAAGTCGTCCGAAATCGGTCCACCGACCGATTATAAAGGGTTGCTACGCAACCCAAAAACTGTCTTGGATGTCTCTTTCGGGACAGATTCAGGATCCCCAATTTTTGTGATGTAGTTCGAAAACCACTACCACGACTACATCCTACATGACGACTCTGCCCAACACCATGGCGACTTCCGGACGCACTCCTAGCATCTCAAGAGTCCCAAAATACGATGACCCTGAAACTCAGGAATCGAGTCTCTTCCCTCCCCATGTACCTGGCACGCAAAACAGCACCACGGAAATGCATCACAACCCCGGCACTCCAGCGCCGCTGCAGCCAAAGCCCGAATGGGACCCGTTGAACCTGGCAGTCCGAAAACTGTCCGACAAGTTACATTTCTCACAGAAACAGGTCTGATTTCGGATTTGCGTTCCGAACGGTTCTCGGGAAGAAGGTATGATCTTTCGAGGGCAGAAATCGGACAGTTTTGGGAGAGTTGTCGGTTTAGGAACTGTCCGACAACACCCTGAACAGTATCTGACAACTGCCCATAATCTTCACTATAGGTGCGTGACTGATTGGTCGTACAAATATTGCGGTACAATGAAACATTACATTCAAAATAATGCCATACAAAATATTAACTCAAAACAGTGCAAATACCAGATACGTCTACACTAACTCCAAACTATAGTGCAACTAATAAAAGTCTCAATCTGCACTCCAAAGCTGCGTCTTTGATAGCCGTGCATTAGATATTAGGGAACGCAAATCATGGCAGTGATAAGCATAAGTAGCGGAAAAACAAATGCAGGAGAAAAAAGTCAAACCTTCACATGAATAGGCCTCGTTCCTGCAAAGCATTGTGACTCTGGAGCGGTGAGCGATAAACATGGCTCATCTGTTACACGAAATCTGAAGTATGAACCCATGGAAAAAAGGGCTGGCAGCGGTTGAAATATAATCGCAGATGCACATTCGATAGTATGGTAAGAACCTTGACGGAGGACAGGAGGAAAGAGTGCCAGATTAGCGCCAATCCTTTAGTGCAAGAGCTAAGGAGCACAGCCTCATGGAAAAAAATCCCGCCGATTACAGCGTCGTAAAAAATTAGGAGGCTCCGACAATAAATGCAAGGCCTTACCTTGACAAATGCATCCTCGCGATGGTGAAAATAGGCAGCCGCGCAATGTGGGCTTGCGCAGTTCAAACAAGGTAAACCAACGAAAACGACCAGCTACGACAAGTTAGAGAGGCATGCGATGCAATGCGGTGGCACTCTACAATAACACTAATGCCTTAGAAAGAGAAAGCGTGAAAATGGCGGTGGGCGGTAATGACGGTAATTGCGGAAATGGCGGTACAAGCTAAGCTAGGATCTGCAATGTCGAAGTGCAAAACGAAATGGTGGTGGGAGAAGGGGGACGAAGGAGAATATGGAGCGAGGCACGAGTTTGGTTGCGTTTGGGAGGTCTAGGTTTGGGCAGATGACATGGCAACTTGTAAGAAGTATGGGTTTTGGTGTGAGGTGTGGATAAGCTTAGTTGGAGGCTTGGGAACACCAGCGTCTTTCGTAGCTCGGCGAAATGATTGCGTTTCGTTAAAGAAATGTTACATTAACGAAAAGTGGATGTTCGGACCATCAGATCATTGACGAACGAATCCGACAGCTGAGAACCAGAAATCTACGATCAACGGTAAGCAGAATTTTGACGAGAAAATTGGATTTTCAGCCGTCCGATCAAACCTCCCTAGCCAAATGTCTCCCGGAAGTAGCCCAACCTCCTCGGAGCTTAGATTGGTTCGGGATAGGTGGCGGCCACTTTTTGGAGGGTGGTTTGGAGCGTGGGAATCTGGAGAGATTGGGGATTGATTCCGGGGCAGGGTTCGGACACTTTTCGGACCGAATACTTTCTGGACACTTTTGGGGCGTTCAGTTTTTGGTGACGTATTGGCTGGCCCCATGAGCCACGAACATGCCCATGCCAGTGCTCATTCCTTGCTCCACTGCCCTCCCTACGCACCAGTTGTAGCGCAGGTGCAGAACCCTGGAAGTGCCGGCCTGATAAGGAGCCGCCACCAAGCTCGTGCGGCAGCGAATGCTGGTACCGGCGCAAGCGTGGAAACCACCGTTCGTGCGGCTGCAACTGGAGTAAGTAGTGTGCAGTGGCGAGTGCCAAGGCCGATCACACACAGCACCGCCAACCCCGCTGCAACCAACCCTGCTCCACCCCCCCGGAGGATGGAGGCCGACTAGCCGCCTTTACGTGCCCCCGCTGGCCGCCGTACCAGCCCTCCTGCTGCGGGTGGGACGAGGGCGGCGTCTGCAAATGGAACACAGCCAAGGAGCACGAACGTCGCATCAGTCTTGCCGGTGGACATGTGGCCTGACGCAGTCATTGTTCAGTTCATGGCAGAAAGTATTGCCTCAGCCATCAATCAAGCTGTGGCAAGGGCATGTGATAGGTTCGAACTGCTCACCCGATCGTTGGTCGAGACATGGCCGGCCGTGACGCCATCCACCACGCGTGGAGCACCTGGGCGAGATAATCGCGACGGCGAGACGGTGAGAAACCCGGCCACATCCCGGCTCATGTGCACCGCTTGAGTGGCAGGTCCACTCAGCCACCAACGGTGCCCTTCTCTGGCCTCCCCAGTCCTCGGACGATTCCCCATGCTGTTCTCGATGTTGTGCACCACGCAACATGCTCCAACTGTCCATGGCACCTTTTCCAGATGAGATTCAACTCTGCCATCTGAAATTCTCTCCTTCCCCTTGACCCTGCCGTTAGTCTGTTCCACAACCATCCTTTCTCTGCTCTGCTGTTTGTTAAGGATTGCTTGTGCATCCGTTAGGGAGCCGCTGGTAGGAACTTTGTATGGCGTTATGAGGTAGTTTCTTGATCCATATGCAGCATCCGCGACCAAAGAGTAACCATGCAACTCACTATCCTCTATCCGGCGGCACGCGCTGCTACTGTTGAACACCCGGGCGTCATTGACACTCCCGGGCCATTCGACATCGAAATCCCATATGTTCCCGTCAGCATCTACGATGAGTTGCAGGATCACCGCAAAAACACCCTTCCGGTTCATGAAGTCCGCCTTATGCTCTCCAACGCACCCACCACCACCTAGCCTTAGGAACTTCTGCGCCATGCCCGGCAACACTTCAGGAGCAGGCCATGTCACCCACATAGGCCCAAGGTCTTTGAGAACGAAATCCTCAAAGTCGTCACACACTTGCATGGCATGGTTTCGGCTTACACCGAAGTGCATCGATAGGAGAAGGAATGACCAGCTATGCCCCAAATGGGATAATCCTATGGCCACCCTTAGATCAGTAGGGCAGGCAAGGCGGTCCAAGCCTCGGTGTGCCTGGGCGTATTCTCCTACGATGTATTGAAAGACGTGCCACTCTACACGGAACAACTCGTTGAAGAGATTGTCATCAATGTGCTGGAGGAGTGCTTGCCAACGCTTCCTCACAGCACTGCGATCCCTTCACAAGGTCCTTGCCTTTGTGGCCTCTGTGATGATTGGCCCTTCTTTTGTTACACGCGCCTGTTGCGCTTGTTTGCATGGCGGGATCTCGTTACCCGCCACCATGTCTGTGCTGGTCTCGGTGCTGTCCTTCCGAGCTGTACCTTTCATGTCGGGCCTGTACCCAAAATGGGATCAGTTTGAAAATTGATTCACATTGTGTACTGTCAGACAGCTCTACGTGTCCAAAACGGGTTGACGAATTTTGGGGACATGCACTTACTGCACGGTACAGATGTGGTGAAGGTTCGGACGATTCCGTCAGGAACCGTATGTTCCACGCCCTTACGTACACCCTAAACCTCGTTATGGTCGAATCACGTAGGATCAAAACTCACGTAAGGTCAATGACGAGATCAGCTTCTTATCAAATTGCGTCCCGCCAATTTTGGTGAGCCCTGCACCGAATGTGGCTGGTATCCCGAGAACATCAGAGGGAAACATGTAGAATAAGCCACTTTTCTGAAGTCCCGAAAATCCAAAATTTGACGCGAACAATCATCGTGTTGGGAAGGTCGTGTGCGTGCTCGTCGTCGTTTTGGTTTGGAGTTTCATTTTGTTTGTGTGTTACCCTCACCGATGCGTTTGACCATTCGGCTCCCGGGTACACCCCGGAACTAGTTTCGGGGTGTAGGGAAATAGCAACAGTGGTGGGACCCATGGGCACTCACGTATTGTCAAATTCCGCTAAAAACAAACGCAGCCGCCCTGCCCAAAAGCTTTGACCATAACAAGGTTTACAGTGTACATCTTTGGGTTCAGAGTGCGATACATAAGGGTAAGGGTCAGGGCGTGTCCCAAAAAATCATTTACCCGTTTTTGACTCGCGGAACCGCTTGACGGTACGCAATGTGAATCGACTTTGAACCAGATCCCGCTTTGGGAACAGGTCCGAAATGAAGGGTGCATTTCGGAAGGACAGCACTGAGACCAGCACAGACATAGGAGCGGGTAACGGGGTCCCGCCATGCGAAACTAGAGCAAGGCGCGTGTAACAAAAAGAGGGCCAATCGGCGTAGCGGGGGTAGGTTGTTTGCTAGCGACGTGCGAGGCTGCAAAGTTTCGCTAGAGAATTTCGCTAGAGATGGTGCTAGTACTGGGTGGCAAACTGGAATTTTGTGTGGTATTTTTTTTGTCGTGCGGAGGTACCTGGAAACGTGCGCTGGTGTCCGCTAATTCCAGGTGTGAGCTGGGCGTGTCCTATTCGGGCATGTTTTATGGTTACACACCTAGAAGTAGTGACTGAACTCGGTGTTGAACAGGGCACGTACTTTAGTGATACACCCTCAGGATTGCAGCAGGGTCTTGGCGTAATGCTGACGCAGCAATAACGCCTCACCAAACTAAAACGCCTTAGAGCAGTTTTCAACGAAATAATACTGGCCTTGCAACCAATGAGCATAGCGACCCTAGCTCGTGACCATGGAAAACGGTCTCATGTACCACACTCTTATTGAACCTCGGGCTCAATTTTTAGATGGCTGCTAGACGTTGCAAAAATAGACATTACGGTAAGCGGCAGTGCTTAAACCTTTCTGTCCTTGAATAGCGCTTGGATTTGATGAAAAATTAACACTGGCTTTCTGGTGGACACACATGTTGGTGGACATCAACAAACGGCTTATGGAATGTTGATCAAATCTGTAAGTAAATTCCCTTTTCCTTACTGGGCTCGACTACAGCGCGTACGCCCTCAACTCTCGGAAGTCTAGGCCCTGCCAACTTCTTCGGTCCAGAACCACTTCGCGAACCCAAAAGTTAGACGTGCGGCGCTTCCGTAGCTTTCGCCAACCGGACCGCCCCAACCTATTTGCGTGGTTCACGGCTAGCTCTGTTCGTGCCTATAAATGCCTAGGCCCTCATTTGTATCGACACTCTTGAATCACGACTCCTTTATTACACTACCTGTTATTACTCTGATTAATTCATAACAGCTGGTATCAGAGCCCCGTTCCTGCTCGCTTAGTCTTTCGTAGAGTAGTCCGTTTATATCGAGAGAGGATCCGACAGAATAGAGGGTTGGCCTGCGGTTGGTAGGTGAGCTCGTTAATGCTCCTCTAATTAGAAGCGTGTGCACCCTCATACCTGTCAGGTGAAATTTCCAGCATGCCTACCACACCGGAAACCACTGCCCGTCGTAGTGTTAGGAACGTAACTCAAGAGGATTTTGACGAGTTGCAAGCCAGGGCAGCTACATTGACAACACTGCAGGCCCAGCTTCAATAACTCACCGATAAGTTCGAGTCGCTGGGAAGCGAAGTGCAGACGCTGCGCAACGCAATCTCGTTGCTTTGCCAGACATGTGGTGAAACGGGTCAGGAGCGGCCTATTACCCGAGACGAAGATGCTGCGAGCGAAGCGAGGGCGTCGGCGACACTTGAAGCAGTTGAAGAAGTCCACAGCGAGCCAGGGGCGGCCATTAAAATCAAACCTCCGATGACAGAACGACTAGAGTAAGCGGTTGGCTGTTCGCCATGGAAATCTTCTTCACAGCACCAAGTAGTAATGACAACGCTTCACGTGTCAGCTTGGCTATTTCGCTGCTGAGGGGACCGACAGTCGACTGGTGGCGCATGCATCTGGATGAGGGAGGAGCCCCGGTAGGGAATCAACGGGCAGTAGATGGGGAGCATGGTTCATCAACGGCTCAAGCCGAACCGATCTTTAGGTCGGCCACGATCCGCACGTGGGAAGCGTGGGGCGAAGCATTGAAGAGCCGATTCGAGCACATATCCATGCGCCAAAACGCTTGCACAAGGCTTCAGCTAGGCTCTGTCCAAGAATACACGGCTTCGCGCTTGGCGTTATGCGATCAAATCGGAGGGCTTAGCGAAGACCAGAAGATCGATCGCTACGTGGGTGGTCTCAAGCCAGAGATTCAGCAAGAGATCGTCCTACGAGCCGCGGTAACATTTAACGAAATTGTCTAAATCGCGGATGCACTGGACACAAGGCGTGGACTCGCGAGGGCGGGTTTCCGAGAGGGAAATCGCTTTCGAGGCCAGCCCCAACACACATCAATCAATGGCGTGGACATGTTTGCAGCCCGGGTATTTTCTGGATGTTGTTTCCACTGCAACCAGACGGGCCACATGGTGAGGGACTGCCCGCAGTTGAAGAAGAACTTAGCTAACGATGGGAAGCAGTTGGGAAATGGAGATGGTCAGTAGTAGATGGGCAACCTACTGACTTGACTGCGTCGCCCAAACGCCAACACCCCACCAGGTTATAGTGCCTATTTGGGCTATCGACCATTCCTGGCTGAATAAGGGGGTGAACTGGTTGATCGCCCTGTGCTGGCAACACCCGCATCAAGCCACAGTTTGATGGATATGACAAAAACGAAGAAATTCCGATTGCAGCTGGAACGCCGCAAGCCCGAAATCGACGCGAGGTTGGTTGACGGCACCGCACTGGCGATTTGGGAGCGCGTGCCACGCGTGCGAGTCACCTGTTGCGAAAATTTCAGTTTCACGACGAAGATGCTGGCGACACCGCACTGACGGGTGCGAGATGCAGCTGGGGGCGCGATTGGCTGCGCGAATACAACCCGAGCATCGACTGGCAGACGGTTGATTGTCGCATCAAGTGGAGTGGCGAGTGGCGACAGCTGCCCAAAAGGAGCAGTCAAGACTCGACAACATCGACAGTCAGCACAGTGACTATAAAGCGCGCAATGATTCAATGAGTGCAACTGTATGCCGTCTGATGGATCGCATGAATGGCTGTCGACACGCCGACCGACATCGACAAACTCTGTGCACCTGTACCGGATGATTTGGCAACAGTGATTCGGAAGCACGCCGACATTTTTCCAGACGACCTACAGACGGGCTTGCCACCTTAGCGGCCGCATGACCACAAAATCGAGCTCGAGCCCGGCGCGTAGCCTACTGTTCGAACCCAATGGCGGCTGACTCGGCCCGAGTTAGATGAACTTCGACGCCAGCTGGACTATTCTTCCGCCCCAGCACATCACCATTTGCAGCTCCGATCATGTTCATACCGAAGAAAGATGGCGGTCTACGTATCTGTATCGACTATCGTGCCTTGAATCGGGTTACCATCAAATCTTGCTACCCCATTCCACGTGCCGACAATCTCATCGACCAACTTCGCGGGGCCAGATTTTTCTCCAAGAGTACACGGTCATGCCCTTCGGCTTGACAAACGCGCCTTCGATATTCCAGTTGACCATGAACGAGATTTTTTGGCCACTGCTGGATAAGTGCGTCATCGTGTACCTTGACGACATACTTGTCTACAGAACCACCCAGGACCAGCATTTAAAGGATTTAGCCATTTTCTCTCTTCTGCAACAGATCCGACTCATCACGAAAGGCTCTAGGTGCGAGTTTCTCAAACACGAAGAGGAGTTTTTGGGTCACGTGATTTCCATCTATGGTGTTAAAATAGACCCTAAGAAAATTGCGACAATCCAAGACTGGAAGTCGCCGGCTAATCTACGCGAACTTCAGAGTTTTATGGGGTTTGTTAATTACGTCCACAATTTCATTCCGAATATGGCGGGGGTACCTTCCCCTCTTACGGATCTCCTGAAGTAAGGCACGTTTTTTTAGTTGGGGGAGAGCAGCAGGTTGCGTTCGAAAAGCTCAAACTTCTCCTGACTACACCGCCGTTCTTCGGATTGCAGATCCTCACCGTCAATTCGAGCTCATCACCAACGCTAGCGATCTGGCCGGTGGCGCAGTCCTGTTACAAGACTTCGGCGAAGGACTACAACCGATCACCTACGAGTCACGAAAGCTGAACCCGGCTGAGCGAAATTATCCTGTCCACGACAAGGAGTTACTCTCCATCGTTCACGCTTTCAAACTCTGGTGCTGCTACCTGACGGGCGATGGCGTAACAGTCTGAACAGACCACAAGTTGCTACAGTTCATCCACGCCCAACCGACACTGAATCACCGACAGGTTCATTGGCTCCACTACCTCGAGTCCAATTTCCACTACAGAGTCAACTACAAACGAGGGGTTAGCAACATCGCCGACGCACTGACCCGCCCCTCGGCCCACACTGCCGCAATCCTAATTACCCAAGCTAATCTGTTCTTAACTAGCCTATTCACCTACGAATACAGTACTAACCCATTCTTCACCACTAACAGTCATTCCCAACAGCCTATTATCTAAAATCATGTACCAATCGGATTTGGGTGTCAACTTATACAAATGTTTGTATGTAGAAGTTATAGGCTAGATAGGTGTATGTTCTAGGAGGGTACAACTCCAACCCTATGTCTCCCTTATTCTCTCTTGTTTCTAGTCATTCTTGTATTCTAACATGGTATCATGAGTAGGTTAGGTCCGCCCACCCGCTTCTGCCCCTAGCCCTAGCGCGCCCGCCGGCCCCTAGTGCACCGCCGGCCCCTAGCGCACCGCCGGCCCCTAGCGTGCCCGTCGCCCCTAGCGTACCCGCTGGCCCCTAGCGTGCCCGTCGCCCCTAGCGTACCGCCGACCCCTAGCGTGCCCGCCGCCCCTTCCCCGCCGCGCTGGCCTGTCACGTACCCAACCGGCCCTCGAGCCTAGCCGGCCCCACACGCCTAGCCGGCCCCTAGCGTACCCGCTGGCCCTAGCGCTCAGCCGGCCCCTCGTGCACCTCGCCGGCCCCTCGCTACCCGCCCCCCTTAAGCGCCTCTTCGGCCACTCGTGCCTAGCCGGCCCTCGTGTGCTCGCCCAGCCTCTCGCGCACCCGCCCGGTCCACCGCGCGCTTCACCGACCCCTTAGCGCTCCCCGGCCCTCTTACGCTCGTCGGCCCTTAGCGCTCGCCGGCCCCTTTGCGCTCGCCGGCCCTTCGCGCTCACCGGCCCCTCATGCGCCCGCCGGCCCTTCGCGCGCTCGCCGGCCCCTCACACGCTCGTTGGCCCCTCTCGCACTCGACGGCCCTTCGCGCGCGCCGCCGCCCGCCGGCCCCTCTCGTGCCCGCCGGCCCCTCCTGTCCTCGCCTGCCCCTTTGCGCCTCTCCTGCCTCGTCGCGCCTCTCTAGCCCCTAGCACCTCACAGGCCACCTAGTGCCCCTGTGGCCCCAGCGCTCTGCTGACCCTTTGCGCCTCGGGCCCCTCCTTGGCCTTCCGCCCGGTCTTCTCGCCGGAGAGTCCTGCTGCTGTGCTGCCGTGTCGCTGAGTACCCGTGCCGCTCTATCGTTATGCCGCTGTATCGTCGTGCCGCTGTGCCGCCGTAACGGTGTGTCGCTGTGCTGCGAAGGTTGCACGATGGCGGACGCTGTGCTTCGCCTGGACGCGGAGGGACACGCGATCGACTTCGCCGCCTAGCTTGTCGATCTCCGCCATCACCTCACAGGTCACCGCCAGGATGGGCACTCCCTGGCTATGCATGTTGATGGCTTGCTTCCCCGCCCCCCCTTGCCTAATCCCCTCCCTGCTGACCCCACCATTGCTAAGAGTGAGGCCTTTGCTGCTGCTGCGCTCGCTCGCGCTGTCTGGGATTCTCGCGATGCTGTAGCGCAGCTTGCCATTAGTCATGCGCTTCCCCTGTCTGAGCGTCCATGCTTCACTACTGTCGCGAATGCCAAGGGCTTCCTGGATGCAGTAGTTGTGTGCTACTCCACACCCGCCTCCGCCTCCACTGGCCGCTTGATCCTCCCCATGCTATTCCTCGATCTTTCCGTTTTCCCCACTGTCGCTGACCTCGCTACTCACCTCCGTGCACTAGAGACTAGCTACCGCGCTGTTAGCACTGCCGCCCAGCTCACTGCCTTCCCCCCACCATTCTCTGCTACCCTGTACCTTATTGCCATGCGCCTGCTTGATCGCTTAGCCATTGCATGCGACCACTTCCTTAGCCAGCACCCTGGCGACCTCACCCTGACCGTCTTTCTCACAGCCTTTTCACAGATAGAGACTCGCCAGCGCACTATCGCTCATTTGAGTGGTTTTGCGGCAGTCCCTATCTTTCAGGGTTGTGCTCCCTCCCAGTGCACGTACGTCGACGTTTCCAATGCGGTCGCTACGGCTGGTCCTGCCACTGAGACCTCGGCTGCGGCCTTCCCGCAGCAGCGACAGCGTCGGGGCCATCGCGGCCCCAAGGGAGGACGTGGGGTGGTGGTGG